AATGCTTTTCAATTGGTTCGAAGGTGAAGGCTCCTACAACCCGGGGCTATATATAGCTAACCCTAAAAACAAATAAATAATAAATAATTAAATTATTTACGGGACTAATAACAATCAAACCCAGAAAGTTCCTTAAATTTACTGAACCACCCCGATAAAGTAGAATAAATTAGGTAAAAATATTTTATATTTAAATATCATCTCGATTATCGTGACTCAGCAAGTGGGTAAACTATTTCACGGGATTTGATTCAGTCGACGGACACGTGGTTGGTTAGTATAGAGTTCGCCACCGTCCGCCCGTTTGCCGGACCAAGTAATAAACTACAGATTTTTTTACCTCCTTTTTTAATTCGTGGTATAAAAATTTTAACTTAATTAGTTATCTCCCAAAATACATTAAATTGATAATTTACCTTTTGAACGTCAAAACCTTGCAAAAAAAGTTATAAGCTAAATTCTAAATTTAATTTTAAGATTAATTTAAGATATTTTAAGCTCTCGATAACATAAACAAATTACATATGATTAATCTTTGCCGAAGGATCTTTGCCGGAGTATACTCAGTTACTGTTCATCTTCTCCAACCTTACACTGACTTAAGCATCGGAGGATCTTTGCCGGAAAATCTTCCTTCCGATTTTGAGTTCTTGTAGGTTTGGATGTCGTCCGAGGTAGAAGGAAGTCAACCCAGTTCCATCAGCTCGAATGTAGACCGAGTGAAGTCTATTTCACTATTACAGTCAAAATCATAATACCTTATATCGAATCATTCCCTTACAATATTGGACATATTGGATGAAAGTATAAATTTGAATTAATTCTTTCTACTAACTTGAGTATTATTTCATACTATTACTTATTTTACTCACACATGGTTATACATATTTTTTTAATCCCACATGTTCTTTGAGGATAACTGATATAGCATATAAGAATAGCTTAGTTAAACTAGTTATAGTTAGCTCGATTTACAGACTGAAGAGTAGTTATAGCTCGGCAAACCTAAGAGTAGTTAAACTCGACAGTCTGAAGAGTAGTTATAGCTCGGCTAACCAAGGGTTAGTTATAGCTCGACATATAGGGAGCTCGGACAGTATGTCAATTTTGGTAGGTCGGCATATAGGGAGCTTAGACAATGTGTTAACTCGACATAAAAGAAGCTCGGACAACCTGACAAATACAGATAAATTTATAGCTCGGGTATTGAGGAGCTCAATATTCAGTAGTTCGGTAAGTGGCTCCAGTAAGAGGATCGACCTACGTAATAAGTCGAGTCTAAGCTATCCATGAGGGACACGCATAAGGTTATGGATAAAAGGAATAAACAACTGAACGGATAAGAATAAAGCCCAACATAATTGATGGGCTGGCCTAGGAATAGCCTAGTAACCACCGATGGGCAGCCCACCTGGGCAAAAAAAGGCAATAGGGCAAGCCTTCGGCAGTCAGACAGAACAAAAGCTTGTTCATGAAGCTAATAATTCTCTATAAATAGGTAGAATTGAGAAAAGGTAAAACCTAATCATACTGTATACACTCTAAGCTTTCAATATATTTCAATACAGTTTTCTTCCATATCACTATTGACTTGAGAGTGGGAGATTTAACGCCGAAAACGTCTCTCGGCGTTTTGTCTATGTCTGGTAAGCCAAATAAGCTAGTTTATAGGTTATTTGGTTGGCTTATAAGCTTCATGTATTCAAATAAGCCTCGTTTGGTAAAAAAAAGTTTGAGTTTATCTCATAAGCTACTTTAGGTAATTTTTTAAATAAGCTAATTGAATTTTTTATTTTAGCTAACTTATCGGCTAATTTTACCAAACACTTTTATCATATGAGCTAGTTTTTCAACTATGAGTCATAAGTTATAAGGTATAAGCTCAAAAATTACATAAAAACTACTCCCTCCTATTTTTTATAAACATCGTTCTGTGTAAAAGCACATGAATTAAGGATTCTTTTTTTGCCAGTTTTAGCCTTATTTAATGAGAATTAACATTAATTAATTATTTTCTTTTGAGTTTTACTATGTTGTTTTAATGAAGAAAGATTTCATCTTCTTCATATGGAGAGACCTATGGAGAGATGGATGAGGACAAAAATAGAAAAATGTGAATAAAAAACCTAAAACGTCATTTATTTAACTAATTGTCAATAAAGTCAGAATGACATTTATAAAAAACAAGCGGGAGTATAAGCTAGCTTATCAGCTATCAGCTAGTTTTACCAAACATATTTGCAGGTCTCCGTAGAGCAAACAGTCAATCGATCTTGGAGAACTTATTTGAGGTGCAAGAGCACATCAATAACTATACAATATATATACATATATATATGACAATAAATTTTATTCAGTCAATAATTAATAAAAATAGAACTTCATTTAATAAAAATATTTATGACCAACATTCAAATGACAGTTACACAAGTAAAACCTTTTTGTTATTATTTTTTTATTCTGTAACAGTTTTACAAGATTTTAAATTTTCTGAATATACAATATTAAATTATTTTACAGTTAATATTCCTATTATGTTTTATAATTATACCAAAAAAAATCGATTTATATGAATGTTAAATAATTTATATTTATATTATACATTTACATATACTCAAAATTTTAAAATCTAATACACACTTTATCTAATTTAAATTTTTAAATATCATATATGTACATATAATATATAATTTTTTGTTTCCCTTTGTGCATGTGCATGAATACTAGTTGTTGTGATTTCCCACACTTATGGTTAAATTAAAATGTAGCATGATAAAGCCGTGACAAAATTACAACAACAATTACTACTACAGCCATTTTACTTCTATACTTAAAACTTTGGCAAAATGCATTCTTCTTGAAGAATTACGAGGAGATTGAGGAAAAAAACAAACAATTAAATTGTACCGAAAAAAAAAAACAATTAAATAATAATAATAATAAAAAAAAAGCTAGCTGGAGTCAATTATTGAGCAGTATTATTTTCATGCACCCCCAATTTGTGGACCATTATTGACAAGAATTAAACGGGCAAACATAGGTTTGTCCTTACTCCTTAGGATATCCTCAACGATTCGTTGTTGATGACCTAACATAGAAGTAGCTTCACGAAATTAAAAATGTGCACCGATTTAATAAAATAACAAAACTATTCAGTGAAAGATACTATATTTCCAATTAAAAACATAAATTTCGTAAATGTGCAAATAAATAAATTTTTAGGTGAATAATATTCTTTTTT